CAAATCTGCTGCGGCAATTTATATCTGTCCTCGATATCGATGTAACGTTGATATAACGGATGTTGGATTGTTACCAGCAGAATGTAATTAAGCGATGTATGTGTGTGTGTGTGTGTGTGTGTGTGTGAAATTGCAGTTCTTTAATGAAGGACTTACGAGAACAAAGTTTGACATTCCGTATAATCGCCGTTATATTAACAAAGTATAAAATATCCGTGCGACGTTTGTCTACACACGAACAGTATTTAGAGAAAATCTGCAATTATTTAACTGGAATAATCATTGCGCTCTCATTGGAGATGTTAATTTCCTGAAAATTTAGAATTTAATTCTTCCGTAACGTTTTAATAAATCGTTCAGAAAATGTTTGTTACATTTTTCGACAGCGATATCTCATTTAAATGACAAAGTTTTCGAGCACATTTAATTCTTATGTTGCCAAGTTTTTTTTCTGCGTTTTTAAAGCAACTGTTTCAATGTTATTACGAAAAGAGGCAGATGCCTTCTTATCTTAGACTTTATTTGAGAAGAGCTCCGTGCTCTCAGTCATCGTAACGAGAAATTGATACTGCTCATCGTTCCTGGGAGCACGGTGTATCCTTCGAATCGTTCGCGAACATACATGCGTTGCCGTATACAACTATTGATCTTGTATAGCGCTGTATTTGAGTTTCCACCTGAAAGCTTCAGATACCGCGACGCGTACATCACTTAACTCACCCTGTAGAAGGGGAAGATGGCATAAGCGGTACTGTGATGACAGTAATATATCAACTAAGCAACACTTACATTTTTCAGAAAAGCAGAAGAGAATAGAATGTAATGAGATAAATGATGAAGAGAAATGACAAAATATAATTCGAATATTAATATCGCCGTTTACGCATAATACACGATCTCGAGCCTTTCGGCGAACAGTCAACGAAAATTTCTTTCTCTGTTCTCTAATTTTTTAAGAGTTTGCTTTTATTTTTTTAATTCTGCTCGATTAGTGTTATTGTCGCATCATAGAAATTTCTTCCAACAATTAATTAATAAATGCAAGGGTGAGTTAAAGTTTTGAAAAAATTGCTGTAAAAATAAATATTTTTGTACAAAGATTCAAGCTCATTTTTCTACATAATCATCATGCGTTTAAACATGTTTTTTTCCAACAGTTCAACAATTTTAATGCCGCGAAAAAGAAGAATCTTTTGAATGAAAAATTACCTAGTCAGGTGCCGTAATTTTAAACTCGTCGTCATTAAAAGAGCCTTACTATGTGTCCCATGCAATTCAAATCTGGCAGATTACCATGCGTTCGAATTATTAAACGATTTGAAAAAAACCGTACGAGTGGGAAGATGATTTTTTAATAACGATGAGCTTAAAACTGTTGCGCATAACTGAGTAATTTTCCAATCAAGAGATGATTTTTCGAGGAATTAAAGGTATTGGCTACTTAAAAAGACATGGTATAATTATATAGAAAAACAATACGATTTTTTAAATCAACGTATATTTTTTTATAACAATATTTTCGCGATTTTTTCACTCAACTTCGTAAGTTCCTTTAGTATCCTCGCGTATACACACACACATACACATCTCTAGTATCTATTATATATGAATTTCTGTTACTTGATCCGCAATTGATCGCCACGCGAGAACAAGAAGGGAAAACGAACGATAATACACGAGTTTCGCTCTCGCTTCTTTCTTCTTCTCATTTCCCGTATGGCATGCCACGAGATATCGGACCGAATCACGAGGAATAACCATTCAAGGAGGTAAGCTTTATATACGATCAGATGCGGTAGCAATTTATTCCCTTCCGCTGCTGCTGTTCCCCACATCCTCTCGTATGGGACTTTTCTTCGAGAAAAAGCTCATTCAAGCAGAACAACAAATACTATACAGAGCAATACATGAAACGTATTAAATCCATTGTATGAAACGTATAAATTCATTGTATAAAGCGTATAAATTTATTGTACACATTTGTATGAAACGCTCGCGTGATTAAGATAAGAATTATTATTATTTTCTTTTTTATTTTACTTGTCACACGTGTCGTAGTAACTGTTCCACTTGTTTAGAAACAAATTATTGATAACTTTCTTGCTTTTTAATTTCTGTAATGATGGCATCCAGAATCTCGCACAGCTCGCAAAGTTTGGAAAATGCATAAATTTAATTGCAAACAAGAAATCCAGAGCGGATCGTTGTGTTTCGTGACACGCGTTTAACTCATTAACTTTTTTGCTACGACAACATAATGCTATGCTGCCAGCAACTCTCGTTAGATTTATTATATCTTTTACTAGAATTCAATCTATTAATACGAGTTAAACGTAAATATTACTCACAAATAAATAAGTATTACGTATCTCAATTTCACAATCCACCGTTTTATATCGCAAATAAATATGCATACATCTATGTCATGACGAATGCATTGAATACAAGAGTCTGCGGAACGCGAAATACAGACCTTTTTTTGTTTCATGTCGCTATATCAATTTTTCGCTGAGTTATAGCGTTTCGAACATCCGGCGCGTGTATACATGAATAAATACAGGCGTGTGTGTATGCGTATGTGGGACGCATTCCTATTACGTAACTGTTACGGTGCTACAATCATGTAAATAACTACAGTATGTTTGCGGGGTCAATAGCATATGCGATCACCATATCACTGGCACCAGAGGGACGTCAATAAGGCCCAACGCACAACAGAGAAAATATTAGGAATAAGAATAAATATTAAATATTAGGAAGAGCAATTTGGAATTGTTTTACTTCAAACAAGGGAATGGATTAATTATTTCTAATTCTTATTTCCTAATTCATAATACATTAATCCATTTCATTTTCTTGTTTTGAATATCAATTTCTTGTTTCTAATATTTAACATTTATTCTTATTCCTGATATTTTCTCTATTGAGCGTTCGGCCTTGACCGAAATCACGTGGGCCCAGATCAAGCGACAGATCGATATCTTTGCGTAGAAAAATTAAAACGAATTGAAACAAGTTTAATTTGACTGCTTTATATTTTATATAAAGTAGCATTATATTTTATTATTGCAATCGTGATTGGATTCATTACAGTATCTCATGGCTTTGTCGTCGCCGCTACCACTTGTGAAATACGCTCCCAATTCTTAATAGGTCAAGGTAATCAGAGGGATTGTGCGGGTCGTGTAATTAACTGATCGTGAGAAGAGAGAAACATCCATATATATTTTCGCCCTTCAAAGGTAGCGACTTTTTTAAAGGCTTTCGAAGCGTGTCTCGCCGGCACACATAACGTACAATACACAGGTACATGTGCGCGTCGAAATGTATGTATATATACATATTTCGCATATGCAGATCGCGCGGCGTGCGCGCGAAGAGACGTGTAAGGGGAAAAGCGGCCGGGCGAGCCGTAACAGCTTGCCTAAATTCCATCTAAATTCAAAACAGGGCTGAAATTGCCACCAACAGGCGCGCAAGGGGATCCGCGACGCTTGCGACAAGCAACGGTTCTAGCCGGCTAGACACGTCGGGTCAAAGGCCAACAAGCACGTCCGCCCGCACCACCACTTTTTAAATACCTCGCTTCTCTTCCCGTGTACAAGCTCACCCCGATATGGCGCAATATGGCATCACCACCAGCGGATGGAAAAAATAAGTTGCTTCTTCTGTAGAGAAAAAGGCGACAGGCACACCGGCGTCGTCTCGTACGCGCGACTGACGTTTAATTAAATTGCACGCTGTATATTAAGCGGAGCGAAAGGTGATGTTAAATGCACATAATACAGAGAGAGCGTTCAAAGAACTTATGCTAAATATTTCAAGCATTATATTTTATGATGAAATCGGCATCGACGTTCCTTTATCGAAAGTATTGAATAATCGACACTTCTGTTGAGTTGTGCGAAAATAAAGCTTTTTCACAAATTTCGAAGATGCAAGTGGGCTTTCAGAAAAGTTCTGTTTGTAAGTTTTTAGTTGCAGAGATTTTCACGTGAAAAACTAGAGGAAAAAAGCGCTGAGGATTTTGAAAAAATACGCTTTTATTTTGTTCTCTACAACAAAAATATTTTGAAACCATAAACAGAAATATATACAGTGCCCGTAAAAGTTTAGACCAAATTTATAGTGTGTTAATGGAGTCCAGAGGGTGAAGAAAGTTTACATGAACCTGTATACGAAAATGCTTTATTAAAAAGTTATAAGCGTTCAAAGATTTACGAGCAGAATCGTTCTTCGTAACTCATTAGACGAAATCGCTGACTGAAAAATAAATGACTCTCGGTTATTGTTTACACATCATCTTTAAAAAAAAAATGTCAACCGTACATGGTGTTCCCAAGCGGTCACCCATCTAAGTACTGACCATGCTCAACGTTGTTTAACTTCCGTGATCGGACGAGAACAGGTGCTTTAAACGTGATATGACAGTTGACGAAAACGTTAAGTGTTTTTCAAAAACAAATGCGTGATCGCTTGGGAACATCATGTACCATTGACATTTTTTAAAGTTCTTAATTAATAATTAAACTGTAACATTTATTATCAATTATTATGTGAGTAATCATACTATTCTGATGATATAAAAATGATTCGACAATATTTAATTCAATGCTGTTCAATGCTTGATCGTTAGCAAGTAATCGTTTTGAATCTCTTTCTGCTTCATTCGTCTTCTCTTTTGTTCGATTGCTTATTATTTGGTTGTATGACGTCACAAGTTTAGATAGCTCTGAACCATTGCAACATCTCGATTAGTAAAATTATTATAAAAAGTATAACTTATTTTATCCAAAAAATTCAATTAAAAAAAAAATTAAATAATCCTTATTTGTATTATTGTAAAATGTTGTGAATGAATGAATCGTATTTGTTGTTAAATTAACCAAGTTAAGCATCTAATAATAAACTTATATAAAGAATGCAATCTTTATTTCGAAAAGATAATTTCACATAGAAAAATTATAACAAACATCTTGAAATGACTTGCAAGATTTTGTCTGTTTTTTTCATAAGTTTATTATACATGTATTAACTACTTATATTCAACGCAACTGATACAGTACACTGTAATTAATTTATAAATAATTTTCAATTATCATTACACATTTGCACAATTATTTTCTCTGTTACTACTAAAAAATGTGAAGAAATTATAATAAATTTATTACATTTTTCATAATGACTTATCTTAATCTATAGCGTAAAAAATCAGGAAGTTGAAATTCTGTTGTGTGAAGTTTAAATATATTATTAGAATATATATTATATTAGAGAAAAGATCACTTTTTGATATTTAAAGATTATTGATTAGCTGTTGCTAATCAGAGTTGTGATGAGTTGTGACTGTCTCGTGATATTTGTCGCAAATATCAGTGTAATTATAATTGCATAATTCACAATAATTTTTTTAACTTTTTGCAGTTTATAATAATAATAATAAACTCATTACTTTATTTCAATTCGATAATAAATTAGAGAATTTTTGATTCTGAAAAATAAACATTGAATTTTATTATAATACATCAATATACCTAAATTTAATAACATCTTATTTTATAATTTATGCCTGTGCATATATTTCAACATCCATGCTTCCAAAATAAATTATTATATTGATTATAGTTCGCTCAATTGCCGAGTTACAAAGATTTCCGAGTTAGAAAGATATAAAAATTGTACAAGTGATTCTTTCTTTTTTTACAAAATATATTCTAATAATATAATTATACTAGCAATGTCATATATATTTTTTTTAATTGTCATCAACATCATCATCATCATCGGATATATATTTTTTGGTAACCCTCTTTCGACGGCCACCCCTTCCTTCGCCTTTTCTCCCTTTCAGTTTAATTTTCATTCTTACACTAGAATCCGCATCTGAACCGTCTTCGCCATCTGCGTAATAAAAACAAAAATTGTAAAGAAGAAAAAATTAACATAATTGTTAACCTCACAATTATACTTGTTTAAATTTTAGCTTTTGTTGAATTACTGCGCAATGATATAAATGATAAAGATATATTTACATACCTTTATCGTCTCCGTCGGAATTGTTACCTTCCTCTTCAAGGCGCTGACGTGCATTTGTAAAAACGGATTGTAACACTATCGAGTCTTCGTGAATAAGAGATGCTTCTTCGTTATAAATTTGAGCATTCTTGCAAAGCTGCATAAAATCCTTCTCAAGCTCATCTAAATCGGCATACTAAAATCAGCAGAAGCAAAATCGTTGAGTTGAATGTCCGATAAATTTGTAAAAGAATATGTAATAATCAAATACTTACTTTGCCTTCCTCGATTTTCTGCAGCAGCTTATTAATAGTCAAAGGTTTCTTAATAATTTCATAATAATCTGGCAATTCTCTTCGAGAAGGTAATTTCATGAAAGGTTCACTTAATAATCGTCCATCGCTATTATCGGTGTAATTAACAACTAACATGATTAATTTTTTCATAGCCCGTTTGAGTTTAGGATCGACCAAAGCTCCGGCACCCCTTCGTTTCTTCGGCATAGGCTCATCGTCCTCCTCGCCCTTCTTCTTCCGCTTTCGCGTCTTTTCTTCTTCTTATCGTCTTCCTCCTCTTCTTCGTACTCAGCGCCATCATCGTCAATCGCCTTCAACCACTCTTTCTCGGTTAAGCTGTCCGTGTAATCAACTTCCTTGCGTTGTCTTGAACCTCTTCCAAGGAATCTATCTTCATCTTCCTCGTAAGTCCATCTTTCCACCTCGTCGTCATCTTTGACCAACCAGTCAGGCAATTCAGCTTCCTCTAGTAATCGCGATTTGCGATTTGGACCCAATTTAGCCTCCTCTCTCCGCCGCTCTAAATCCAATTTCTGGAATGTTTCGAATTCGCCTTCCGTTCTGGCGATCATTTGATTCACAGTCTCATCATCGGGCACTTCGTTTTCTTCTTCGTCATCGGCATCGTCTTGATGCAAGATACTCTGAAGGAACTGCTGTCGCTCAGATCCAGTAGACTTCTGATCGAACATACCAGCCTGAATAACTTTTTCGTCCATATTTAACTTATATCTAGCTGCTGCTAATATTCGCTCTTCAACCGAGTTAACGGTCATTAATCGAAGTACACGCACTTCGTTCTTCTGTCCAATTCTGTGCGCTCTGTCTTGAGCTTGCAGATCCTGTAAACGCATACACAAACGTATTATTTTCAAGTTTAACATTAATTGCATATTACATTCTATATATTACGTACTTGATGAGGATTCCAATCGGAGTCAAAGATGATAACTGTATCGGCGGCTTGGAGATTCAAACCAAGACCGCCAGCACGCGTGGACAGCAAGAAGAGGAAATATTCCGAGCCGGGATCGTTGAATTTCTTTAACAGATCTCCTCTGTCCTCCGCTTTCGTTGTACCGTCCAATCGCAAGTACATAAATCCTCGCCAACTCAGGTAATCTTCCATAATTGTCATTAACTGGGTCATTTGACAAAATAGTAATACTCTGTGATTAGTAGCCTTCAATTTGGGAAGAATGCGATCGAGAAGCTCGAACTTGCCAGACGCGCGAAATAGATCGGGACTGATAACAAATGAAAGTCAAGTAAATAATTCGTCACATGTAAATCGTTCGAAAGAAAAGATCGAGATAAATACCCAGTGATAACACCAGACCCTTGTGTGCCTACGTGTTCGCAGTATTTTTCTTCTATAGCTTGGAACATGAACGGATGATTGCATAACTTTCTCAACTGTACGATCGTATTCATAAGAGCTTTGGCGCCACCCTTGCCTTGCTTTCCCTTTTCTGATCCATCAGTTAGTAGCACGCCTTTACTCTGCATATGCCTGAAGGACAATTTTCACGTTAAGCCCAAGTTAATTTTATAATGTTACAGAAGAGTTTTATCATTTCAAAGGCAGATAATGTGATTACATACTTATAAAGAACCTTCTGCAGGCCGGACATATCGCATTTGATAATGTATTCCACTTTGTCGGGTAATTGTGATTCCACTTCTTTCTTCAGACGCCGCAGCAAGAAGGGCCGCAAGACTTTGTGCAAACGGCGAATAATCAAAATAGTTTCTTCCTCGTTGAGTTCCACCTGCGCGACATCGCAATGTTAGATAAAAGTACATCGCGAAGCCTAAAATTGTGCTTTACGCTATGCAAAAATACTTGCTTTTTCGCCAGTGGTCGCGAAAGGAGCGTTGAACCATTGCTCGAAGGTGCTGCAGGATTTGAAGATCGAAGGCAGCAAGAAGTTCAGCAGAGCCCACAGTTCTGGCAATTTGTTTTGCAACGGCGTACCGGTTAATAATAGTCGATGAGGAGCCAGATAGTGTGTATTCAGCACTTGCGTGAGTTTACAATGATGATTCTTCATTCTGTGACCTTCGTCAATGATCATGTATTTCCATTGCAATTTCGCTAGCACGCCCTTGTCTTTTATGACGTATTCGTAGGTCGTCAGCAGAACATTGAATTTCGTCGCTCGCATCTGTGATTGTATCGCTCGTCTGCCAGCCGGCGAACCTTTGTACGACACCACAACAACGCTCGGCGCCCATTTCTCGAATTCAAGGACCCAATTCGACAATGTCCTGGAAACGTATATTAAAAATGTAGCATGGAAATAAACTCTCACAAATATTGGCGCTTTGCCTCTCGATAAGTAAAGCTGAAACTTACGATAATGGAACAATAATGAGGAATGGACCGTTGACTTTCTTTTTTTCCATAAGATACGTTACCAGAGCAATAGTTTGAATTGTTTTACCCAAACCCATTTCGTCTGCCAGAATGCCATTCAAATTGTTGTTGAATAATGACACTAGCCACTCCAAACCCTAATGAAAGCATTAGTTAAATCGCTTACTCGTAGAAAATATAAAATGCATTACGATATTAAGATCATATAAACAAATAAAATACCTTAATCTGGTATTCTTTCAGTTTTCCATTCACCATAATACTGGCTTGCTCAGTAACGACTTCATGAACGGTATGAGCAATGCTATAATAAGTCTGTTCTTCCGTTTTATACTCGTCATCTTCAACTTTCGCCTTGTGTATCGTTTTCTTCGTTTTATCCTCTTCACAATCAAGTTTTTGCTTATCTAAATGATATTTCCAAATTATACAACTATATGTGAAAACAAATTTGAGAAAGAAATTTTAAAAACTTACGCTCAGCTTTATCCTCGTTGTCATTATCATCGTCATCGTCGTCGTCGTCGTCTTCACTGTCTGATTCAATGGGCTCCCATCCGGGATGAGCCTCTAAGAATGCTGACAACTGGCTCATCAGTGGCGCCTCGTCGCCGGTTAATGTGCGACCCGTGGCTGTTTCTATTACACCAACACGAGCGTCGTCGTTGGCCCCGCCGTCTTCGCCATTCTCGCCATCTTGCAGCTTCTTCTTCTTCTACAATCATGAATTTTTATAATTGATATTGATTAATCCCATATGAAAAAAATAATTATTCTTCAAGACGTATAAAGGTTTACATTACCTTCTTACGCTTTTGCTCTTCGACTTGCTTCCTCTTTTGCTCTATTTTATGCTGCTTTACCATTTCCGTGAGATTGCTGATATACTCATCGGTTTGAGATAGCAAGAATGCCAAACGTTTGTCTTTCTTTTGATCGATCAGTTTTCTGTATCCTTCTTCGTCTTCCGCCATAAGACGGCGCATACGCTCTTTCTCAATGCGCTCTTGTTCCTTCTTCTGCTCTCGCTCGGCATTCGCGTGATAATTAAGCACAGCTTTGTTAAGTCTAGCCAACTTTGCAACGTTATTGCGATGAAATTCCTTGAAGTCTTTGCCATGCTGTAATACGGAACTGAGAAACTCCTGTAAACGTAACAATCATATCGTTATTCGTTCGTTCACAATGACACAATATTATTTATATCATCATCGATGATTAATTTCATAATATTAAATATATCGAACAACTCACTTGATGTTTCTGTCTCCGTTTACGTTCTGCTTCCAATTTCTGTTGCTTTTCTAGTTTCTCGGTAGCTCTGGCTTCGCGCAATCCTTGTCGTTTTGTACGTTTATAAGCTTTCACATTCACTGCGGTCTCTAAGGTAGTATCCTTCCGGGTGCATGCTATAATCTGCGAAGAATCAAGAAATTTAGAAGAAAAAAATAACAATTTTCTTAATTAAAGTAATAAATCAATACATTAATTATAAACAAATACCTCAGATCTCAATTGTCTCTGGAAGTTCAGTACTCTAAGCATGCGCAACTCAATCTGGGCTTGAATACGAAGATCTTCCGGCATGTTTGTTGGTAGATTGCTAAGCTGCTCCATCCTAAGCGATATGCGAGCTGCAACCCTGTAAACAAGCATTCTAAATTCTTTATATTCTACTGTACTCAATATATATATATATATATATATATATAGTTTTTTTGTATTGCATTATGTTTTTGTGAATACCACTTTCTTTACCTGTTTTCACGTTCTTGTAATATTAGCAATGGATCCAATCCGGCAGGTTTTGCCACACTTGTCACTCTGTTAGTCTTAGCACCAGGCTGAGGTTGCTGCTGTTGCTGTTGCGGTGTCTGACAACCCGGCCTAGGTGCACCTGCGGGACCAATAACATTCGGACCTGGTATTTGCGGCCCAGCTGTCGGAGTAGGGCCTTGTGACGGATCTATGGGGCGTTGACCCATCCCAGGAGGAGGAGGCGCGCCACCTATTCACATCCGTCTTAAATCAGGATCATTCTACCCTACTTTTGTAAATACCACTTCCATTTCATTTCATTCATTATACAATTTAAATAAGATACACCGCAAGCGTTACTGCCAATAAGCATTAACATAATTGCGCAATTTAATGCGTAAAAATTATTGAGAAGCGAAAATTGAAATTAATGGAACAAATATTCAATAATGTAATAGGCATTCAAAAAATAAGAGCGCTTAAAATTTATATACGATACTTCGTACATAAATTCTAAATTCCTAATGTTTTAAAGATAAAAGGAAATGTACGATACACAAAAGTTATCGATATTTATACTATTACAGATGCAATATGTAAAAATAAAAGCCAATAAATGTAAAATAAAGAAATTATATGTAGAAAAGTCCTACTAAAGGTAAGCAAAATCATTTTATGTGGCAGCAAGCGATACAAAAGATAGAGTAGTCACCCAGAGCATATAAATATCTTGGAAAGTTTATACCTTGTGCAGCTAATGCGACTTGTTGAGGCACCGGTTGATTTCTTGCCAGTAATCTATACACCATTATCTGAGCTCTGTAAGCATAAATTAAAGAAGTTAAAAACAGTATGCAAAAGATACTTCCACATTCGTAATTTTGAGTTTCTCCAGATTTGTTATTTTTCTAAAGTATACCGAAAACATATAATCCTTCAGGATTTACATACCGCAATTGTTGCAATTGCTGCGAATTAAAGGCTTGCTTCTCGCCCATGCCGCTGCCCTGACGAGCTCTTAAAGCTAACAGCTGAGAGTATCGCGGATCTTCCTGCAACCCTTTCTCTTCCATAGAGTCGATTGCTTTCTGGAGCGCGTTGAGATTCTCTTGTCCGGGTCCGGGAGGTCCTGCGGGACCGGTAGGTCCGGCAGGTCCAATTTGTCCACTTCCAGTTTGACTCATCTGATTTACCGGAGCACCTGCGCCCATGGGCGCCGTGCTGCCGAGCACTTGGCCCTGATTTTGGTTAATAGGGCCTATCTGAGTGGTGGGAGGCTGACCGGTCGGCCCATTAGGTCCCATTTGCCCGCTTGCGTTTACATGGGTGATCTGATTCGGACCGCACGGCCCCATTTGCGTATTCGGTCCACCGGGTCCCAGCTGATTGTTGGGAATATTCGGACCCATCTGAGCACCCGGACCCCCCTGCATCATCTGTCCGGGACCACCAGACGGCATTTGTCCTCCCGGTCCCATTTGACCGCCTGGACTGCCACCTGGCCCCATCTGTCCGCCGGGCCCGCTTCCCGG